ATGTCTCTGAGCGAGGGCATGTACCCAGCCAGGCTGCTGGACAGCATCCAGCTCCTGCCGCAGCAGGCCGCAATGGCTTCCATCCTGCCCACTGCCATCGTCAACAGTGAGTGTCCGCACACCAACAAGAGCGCACGAGCACGGAGCTGGAACGAGACGTGCTTTTGTTTAGACACGCACAATTGCACACGCATGCTCTTGTTCTTTCTCCCTTTCTGTGTCTCTCTCTCTCTCTCTCTCTCTCTCTCTGTCTCTCTCTCTCTCACACACACACACACACCAGCCCACAGCCTGCACTCAGTCACCTGCTTAACAAGGAGCGTCGTCTCCGCCGGGCGTAGATTAACCCAGATGAGTCTCTGCACTGGAGATAAGAGCCATCGACCTTCAAGTTTTGGGTTCACATAAACACACTGAGGCTCGAACTAACGTGTTAATTGCAAAATACACGCCTCATGCAAATAGTGTGTTTGTTTACTTAGCGAGGGCTATCTGGGTTCAGCTCAACAGGGAGGCTTCTGTAAGCAGATGGTCCAGTGTTCTTGTTTGCCCTTGAGAAAGGGCACCAACCCAGTGGTAGCAACACAGCGATATGCAGCAGCTGAGGATTTGGTGGAAAAGCCTTTTAACGCAGGCTTTGAGAGTCAGAACTGTAGAAGTAGAGAAGAGGAGTTTGCGTGTGTGCAAGCTCTTTATCTTTATGCATAAATATGAAAGTACTGTATATATCCTGATATCATGTCCCCTTTGTCCCATTCCTCTTCCCCCCCTTCCAGAGGACATCTTCCCCTGCAAGGCATGTGGAATTTGGTTTCGGAGCGAGAGGAACCTGCAGGCCCATCTGATGTACTATTGCAGTGGGCGACAGAGGGAGCCAGATACGGTGGTGGAGGAAAATGACACCGGCCCCCATCAGACCCCCAGTATGTGCCCCTTCCCACAGTGCAACAAGAGCTTCTCTGGAGCCAGGGCTCTGGAAATGCACTTGAGCACCTCACACAGCGGTGAGTGACAATGTCATGGATCAAAGAGCTTGTGCAGAAAACAGATTTTTAACAACAGATAAAAAAAACAAACATTGTTTTAAATATTATGGTTTTTGGAAATGGCTACTTTCAATTCATTTTTCAAAGAAAGCGGGTTTAAAAGAAAGTGTTTAAGAAAAAAAATGACACAGGGGCAGAGTTTTGCACAGGTTTGGAAAAATGACTGTCATTTCTTTTCAAAAATATACATATCCTGCTGTCAGCTAGCATAGCTGACAGTTTATCCTTGAGCAGGAAAAATATCTAGTGGATGGGAATAAGCTTGGCATAATGCATGAGCGTTTGATGGTTTCTACAGTTAACTCTAAAGGAGAAGTGGGAGGCGAGATTCTGAGCATTTCTCCCTTTTATCTCCTTCACAGGTGTCAAAATGGAAGAGAGCCTCCCTCCTGGCACCAGCTTGAAATGCACAATCTGTAACTACACGGCAGATTCTCTTATTACATTCCAGCATCACATCATGTCTCACCTGTCACAGGCGGCCTTCAGATGCAATCACTGCCATATCAGCTTCCAGAGCCACAGGGAACTCTTACAGCATCAGGACTTACATGGGCACGGCAGCAAACTTCACAGGGAAGGCGACGGCACCGAGCATTCCCCCAGGGGGCCTGAGGAAAGCCTCCAGCAGCAGCAGCAGCAGGCCCGCGCTGAGCTGGCCAACAGGAAGGATGCTCTGCTGGGAAGTCCCAAAGGGGCCCTCAACAAGGAGACCAGCACAGACGGAGAGGCTGACAAGGCTGAGAAGAAGCCCATGCTGTCTGTTCAGAAGGGAGAGGCCCACCCAGGCAGCAAAGCCAGTTTTTCTTACACTAGGATCAAGTCTGAGCCCTCCAGCCCCCGGCTGGCCTCCTCCCCTGTGCAGCATAACATGCCTACATTTCCCATGGGCCCCTTCTTGTCTCAGTTTGCTTTCTCCCAAGACATTTCAGTAGTCCCGCAGGCTTCTGAGATTCTGGCTAAAATGTCAGAGCTAGTTCACCGGAGGCTGCGCCATGGAGGGAACAGCTACCCCCCTGTCATCTACAGTCCTCTCATGCCCAAAGGGGCCACCTGTTTCGAATGCAATATCACCTTCAGCAACCTGGACAACTATTTGGTCCACAAAAAGCACTACTGTAACAGCCGCTGGCAGCACATGGCAAAGTCCCCTGATTTCTCCGCCCTCTCAGATAAGGTTCCCGAGGCGGTGAGCCCCAATAGTGGTCACAGTTCTGTTAGCATGTTGACCAGCTGCCACCCCACAGAAGCCGACAACCACCTCATGCAGTCTGCCTGTCTGAATTCCAATGTGTTGGACATGATCAATGCTGGGGCTAAAGGGCCTGATAAGGATCTAGCAGGACAAGTGAAGAAGGTCTCTACCCCAACTGGGGCTGAGGAGAGGCTGAACGGAAAGCAGATGGAGGGAAAAAGCCCCAGTACGGGTTTGGTGGAAAGTGACAATGACCCAACCAAGACAACCTGCGATGCCTGCAATATCACCTTCAGCCGTCATGAGACCTACATGGTCCACAAGCAGTACTACTGTGCCACCCGTCATGACCCACCCATGAAACGCATGTCCAGCAACAAGGTACCCTCCATGCAGAGAACCGTGAGGAACCGCAAGCGCAGGAAGATGTATGAGATGTGTCTCCCCGACCAGGACCACCAGAGGCCCCCTATGGGTCAGCCAGGTTTCCTCGGAGTTCCTTCTATGAACCCTTGTACATCCCAGGAACCTGTAGAGAGCCTGGCAGACCGCTTCCACCCACGCTGTGACATCTTCCCTGGTATGGTACCCAAACACCTGGAGGCCTCTCTGACTGTCACTAAACCTATTCTGGCTCCCAAATGCAATACAGTAGAGCAGCAGGAGCTGGACGCTCCCATTGATCTCAGCAAAAAGTGTTCGCCAGTCTCTGACAAGACATGTAGCTCCCCTAAAAGACTGTTGGACTATCACGAATGTGCAGTGTGCAAGATAAGTTTTAACAAAGTGGAGAACTACCTGGCGCACAAACAGAACTTTTGCCCTGCAACAGCCGCGGCTGCCGCTGCTGCTGCCGCCGCTCAACAACAACAACAGCCACAACAGCAGCAACAACACAATGAGACAGGCAGCCTGGAGCCGGCCATGTTTCCAGATGTTAAGAGTGAAGGCAATAACAGCCCTGATGACGTCTACGATAAGAGCCCAGGCAAATGTGAGAAGAATGGCAACGGGAAGGTGATGGTGCAGAATGGAGGCATGTTCCCCCCTCACCTGGGGCCTGTGCCGGGACTCAAGCCTTTTGCTGAGCCTCAGCTCATCCCATCAAAAGACGAGAACAAGAATATGTTTCTGCCCCACTGCCTTTATCCCGGAGCAATAAAGAAGGTGAAAGGTCCCGAGCAAATATCGCCGTATTTTGGGATAAAGCCAACCGATTATGTGACTGGGGGACCAGTGATGCAGGGAGAGGCCAGCGAGCAGGAGCAAAGTGTTAATGGGGGAGGAGGCACAGGCGGAGGAGGAGGAGAGACAGGAACAACCAGAGAGCAGGCTCAGCAGCCTGCTGCTAATGGCTGCCCCCACCCTGGCAAGGAGCCCCTTCCCTTACTGCCCAAAAACCGGGGCATGGTCATCGTCAATGGGGGGCACAAGCCCGAGGAGCGTTCAGGCACAGCTCCACCGCAGCAGGAGAATCAGCCCCAGCCAGACGGCCAGCCTCCCAATCCCTCACCTACGTGGGCCGCCGAGAACCAGGCCGACTCCAACGAGAACATGTCGCCTTCCTCCAAGTCTCCAAGCGAGGAGGCGGCGCCCGCAGCCAACAAAGGCGTGAACGGCTCTGGAAGTGGCAAGTACTGCCGCCTCTGTGATATCCAGTTCAACAACCTGTCAAACTTTATTACCCATAAGAAGTTTTACTGTTCATCACATGCTGCAGAGCATGTAAAATAAGTTGAGAAGAATAAGACATGTTCTTCTTTTCCCTCTCACACCTTTCCCCAACCTGAACTTTGAACCCCTTTTTTCTCCTTTGTTTTGGTACACTGTTGTGTCTGGAATAGTGCATCACGCAGTGCTAAACGCTGCTTGTGGACAATCAAGAGAAGCTTCTTCTTTCATCGTTTTAAGACTTAAAAATGCAAAACCATTGGTTAAAAAAGAAAAAGAAAAGAAAAATGAATCAAGAATAATATTGGTGCCACTTTCACATTAATTTATTTTACAATCAGTATTAATAGGAGTAGTGATCTTAATTTAAATTCAAAATGAAATTTATATCAGAGTTGTTTGTAATGTTATTGTATAGTCATTCTTGTGTAGCACACATATTGTTTACACTGTAATGTAGGCTCAATGAAACAAATAGACAATACAAAAATGAGATGCATTTTAGACACAAAAATAGCTACTGAGGCACTTGTGTATTCTTATTTGCTGTACCAGTTTCTGTATATGCCCAAAATGTCACTTGCAGATTGCTACTAATGACTTGTTTGCCTTAAAAAAAAATCACCATTTGGGGGTGATAACCAGGCACAACCCTGCATCTCACATTTTGGCATATACACATGGCTTTGCATACATATGTGGCTGTTTGTCCCTGTCTCTTTTCTTCAACTCAGATGTGGATGTTTTCATGAGGATGGCAGCATTCTTGTATAGTACTCGTATTTCTGTTTGATGATACACTTTGGTCTCCCTTTTTGAAATTTGCTCTCAATGCAATACTTTGTAAATGAGGGAACATTACTGAAAGCAGTATTATGAAATGGGGACTGTGCATATAATTATTTGTAACCCCATAGGGAAAAAAAAGAAGTTGTACAAGAATTAAGTTTATTGCTGACGAACAAGATGGGTGGGAGGTCAGTGGGGATACTGATGTAAAATGATCATTCCAATGTCCTGATTATGGGAGAAAATGTTTCTTAAAACGTTGTTGCTATGCATGTATATGGATGGAATTAAATTCCAGATCTGTTGGAAATTTTTATTTTGATGTGGTGTCATAATTAAACTTAAATCCTCAGGATAAACCAATGCTGTCTGGTCTTTCTTTCACACTACTGTATACCCATCAAAACAGATTGCCACAAAAACAAGCACAGTACAGTTAAATATACACACAAAAGTACATAAAGATGGATTTATAAAAATCCAGAATAAGCTTTGCAGGCCACACTCATCTGTTCACAAATTATAAAATGAATCAAATCAATGCAAGTCTAAAGATACAGGTCTACATCTGGTTGTGATGTAACTCAATTATATGCCTGTAACAAATGACTGAAGCTGATGCAACAGAGAGAGAGGAACTCGATGTACCTTTCCCCGTGGCTATAACAAGGCAGAATATTAAAACAGAGCTGAATGAGATTAAAAAAAAAAAAAAAAAGTATGTTGGACAGTGGTTGGACAGTGACGTGTGTGGCCTTTACACTGATAAGGAGTAATGTATTAATTTTTGTCTCTGGCCAATCAGGTAAAGAGACTGAAATAACAACTTGAAAGATAAGATTTTCTGAATCTAAGACAGCAAATATTTCATCACACTGAATACCCTCCAGTTATTTTCAATTTAAAAGCTTCCAACGCAGCAGAGCTGTGCAAAAATATGTTCAAAAATTGACTTCTTGATGAACCCCACCAGACGTGTACACAATCTCTACAGATTGCTGAGAGGTAAAAAGATAACTTGAATATTTTATTGAATATTTAAAACATATTCAGTGATTACCCTGTCCGTGTCTGGGGTATTGTTACATGTTGGCCATGGGTCACTCGCTCTGCTGTTTGGCTTGTCGTCGGTTGACTAGCTTCCTCAGGTGCTGGCTGATGGCAGATGGCTTGTTGTAGATCATTCGGCGGTCTGCTCCTTTTATGTGAATGTGATTGGCTGATGGGTAGGACTCCTCCAGAAACTTCTTTTGAAGCTTAGCTACCATCTGTCCAGGGAGAGAGATGATTTACTATGGATTTTACACAACCATTACTACAGTATTGTCCTGTCACTGAACAGGAATTAATAATAGTAGTAAACATGCTTACCTGGTTTAGATGTTCTGGTATTTGCTGGTCAAAGGAATCCCCGGTGATCACACTCACTGTTGTCCTGCTGGAGAGGGGCTTAAATTTTGTGATGTCCCTTTAAAAACAACAACAGAAAATTTCAGTGTTAATTTTGACTTCCATACTAAACATGCAAACAGCAGACCCATCCAGAAGATAATGACAAAAAGGGTTTCCATACCTCACTTGAGCTGCACTTTCATTCAAAAAGTAATGCTCATCCACAGCACTGCTCTGGTGGGCAGGGTTACTCAGGAGATATTTCTATAAGAGATGAACACATCAGTCAGAAAATCTAAAATGAATGAATAAATCACTTTCTATTTAAATGTTTTACACCACTTTTATTACCTTCAGAGGCAAGTGAAAACTAAAAGAAAGCCAATACACATGGTACTGTATACATATGTCAAACACTGTGGACCTCATGCAATAAACAATATGAGAACATATTTTCTTTTATTTTTGTTTGTATCCATGATTTGTTCATATTTTGTTATTGATTTCTGGGATTCACCACTGTTTTCTTAGTTTTGCTTTTTTCTTAGGTAAGAGAAAATTTTGCAAGGGGTCGAGAGCACTCCCAACCAAGAAAAGAGAAAAACATCTTGTTTGCACAGTCCACATATTGTTAAAAAAAACACACAAATATCAAATTTAAAATAACTATATATGTTTTTGGAGTAATCGAGACTGGGTTATTAAATAAGGGCTTAAGACATACTATAGGTCCACTGGATTAAGTCCATTAAGTACATTAAATATTGCATGCATCCATCTTCTGAATGGCTTAGATGCTTTGGTCATCCAGGCCTTATGCAGGGAATGCACTTCTACAGCTCGCACAGATCTATTTGATGAGACAGATAAATGGTGGCTTGGCTGTTTCAGTTGGTCAAAAGCACATTTTCTTTTTATTTTAGTTACTGCTGCTTCCTCTGCTGATGATACTTCATTTACAGCATCAGAAATGTTTTGCCATTGCTGGGTTTTGATTTTCCAACACCAGTACTGATTTGCACACAGCACAACACCTGCCTTTCACTAGAGGATCAACGATACGATATTAAGATACTTAAGTCACAATAGAATATTGCTGCAATTTTAAATATGTTGCAATATAATGAGTATTGCGATAAAATCAACTGTGATATATTGCGATTTATTACCTTTTTTGAACTGTAAAGTGTGTCCCCAAAGGAAACCTTTGTCACCATCTGTTTTATCCAATAAGATCAAGTTTTCGGTCTGTTCATCTCACTTCAGCCATTTTTTTTGTAGAAGCAAAATGTATCTAGTGGACTGAAAAGGCAACTGATTTTATTATTCTAGTAGGCCACCTAAAGTTCAATTTGTGTTTGTCATATTAATCATTTATATAATAAAAAAAAATCGATACTTGGCACTGTTTGACGATATGATACTGCGACACAAAAATATCGCAATACTATACTGTAACCATTTTTTCCCTCCAGACCTAGTGTTGAGGGGGTGTTACCTATGCAAATAGGTTTCTCATGATCAGATTTAGCACACATGAGTAAGAGCAGATTTGAATGGCTAAAAACATTTGGTACATTGCAAGCTGACCTCTCTTGTTTTTCTGCAGCAGCCCTCTATCCACTAAGTGACCGGGCACTCTGTACGTTGTTTTATCTCTTCACAGAAAACATAGATGAAATGCTGCTGCATCAGGACGAATATATCAGATATAAACTTCAAATGGCAAAATACATGTTTTTTGCTTAAACTATTATTATGAATGCTGATTTCACAATGTAATGGCTAAAGAATAGGTTCATCATTAGCAATTAGACTGGTTCCCTATAAGCCTCACTATAAGCCCACAATGCAATTCTGTCTACCACCGGGTATGACCTCAGAAAATAAAGGCTCAATTTACAGCACAAATGAAGCACATCAACCCACTGTGCAACAAAACAGGAAGAGGATAGCACTTTTGTTTTCCCCGTTAGCTATTGGTAGCTTATCACTGGTTACCAAAGAGTATCAATGTAAGTTCTTAGCAGTTACTATCCCAAGCAGCGGAGATGGCAAACAGTTAAACAACCAAAGTAACTGTAAAAACCGTGGTAGTTGTTAGGCCCCGAGGAAAACGGAAAGTGATCTGGTTGCCTTTACGACAGTGGTGCCAACTATAATATCACTTGGAAACATTGGGGAGGAGTTAAAAAGTTGTCAGTTTACACTTTAAGAAATCAAACATTACAACATACGTTTACAGAAATGGCAACGTGTGCTGTAATCATTCATCTGTTACATCAAACTGACTGGGATGTCTGGCAGACATTTTCAGGAAAAGCAGGTTAAGTGTGCTTAATAACAAAATATTTCCTCTGAACATTTTTACTTATTATTTTCAAATAGCAGGGACTTGTTTTAGAAGTCGCTTAGGAGTAACTTACACTACAAGGCAACTTGTTGAAGAACAAATTCAGAGAATAACTCCATGGACACTGACTTGAGCAATCCCAATAAAAGCTTTGTTTAGTTAGTCTATTGGCAGACATGTTAATTGACCTATTCCACAGTTGTCCCCCTTTAGCCTATCATCACATGGCCCCCATCCCACATCACCACATACTGACAGTTTGGGGGGCATTTTATGCAAATCCAAAAAACAAAGCCACTTTGTTGTGCACTTTGTCACTACAGTATCATATATTATAACTGCACTTACAGTGTGATCATATTCTGACTGAATCTCTGAGACAGAACTGCTTCACACATTTAGATCACACGATGCGTCTGCATTGTTAAACTAAGGCCTTGCTAGCCAGCCTGCTTGTTAGTAATTTTTTTCTGTGTAAGCACAGAGTGTCATTAGTGCCATTTCATCCGACTGAGTATTTTCATTTTTGTTGGGGATTACCATCCCAAGTTTCAATTTAAAGAGATATTTAAGAAGTCTTGTATGTAACTTTTTTTTCTTTTTTTGCCTCTGCACCAGCGATAGCCGGAGCCGAAGTTGTCTGTCTGTCTGTCCCATTCTAGTGAAGACAATATTCAAGGATGCCTTCAGGTTTGTTTTTTTTTTTCAGATTTGGCACAAACATCCACTTGGATTTAACAATAAACTTTTGGTGGCCATAGGTCAAAGCTCAAGGTCACTGTGACCTTACATCCGTCTCATTCTTGTGAATGTGATATCCCAAGAAGGCTTTGAGGGAATTTCTTCAAATTTGGCAAAAACGTCCACTTGGATATGATGATAAACTAATTAGGTTTTGGTGGTCATAGGTCTGACTTCAAGGTCACTATTACCTCGCAAAACATGTTTTTGGCCATAACTCAAGAATTCTTGTGCTAATTATGACAAACAAATGTCTATTGGGATATAATGATGAAGTGATGGAGTTTATATCCAAAAGAAAAGGTCAACTTCACTGTGACATCATAGTGTTCTGCATCAAACACCTTTCTCGCCATTACTCAGTGTTATATCTCAGGAACAGGAGGGGAGACATTTGATCGGATACTAAATTAGTGACACTAATCCTGGGTGTACACCTTGAAAATGCTTGTTGATTGAAACTGATTAAAGCTGATTGTTTAGATCGTCCATGCTGAGAAACTTGAGACTGGTGCATACAACCGTGGGGCGGTAATTCTAGTTTAAACCTTTTTATGTAGTATGGAATCAGAACACGGTACAGTTGTCTATGTTCACTTTAAATCTAGACTGGCAAGACTGCTATGTGGATCTGCTCAAAGATTGTGAGTCATACGCTTGAGTCAAGTTTTTAAACGGCATTTACTAAAAGAATGTTGTCTCTGGCTGGACTCTTCTTACATTTCATTTGAAGAATATCAGCTTTTGCCATCACACAGAAGACTTAGAGTCCAACAGGCGAGACTGAAGAGCTTGGACTCTTTTGTTCCTCAGTCTGTCAAACTACTAAATCAGAGTTTGGGGTCAAAGTGGGGTCAGTGTACCTGGGTTTAAAACTGAATGTAACAGGGGGATATTAAATTGTTTGCTCTGCATCCACTTTTCGTAATGTCTGATGTGATATGTAATGTTTGTAGTATAGTTTTGTTGTTGGATAAAATTTTGTGTTTTGTATTTATTTATATGAAATAGTATACGTCTTAGGAACAAGACAAATTTGGGAAAATATTCTAACAAAGCCAAAACAAATCAAATCAAATTTCCAAGGCGATTTGGAAGAGATGTGAATATGAACTACAAGTCAATTTGAATGCACTGAAGTCTGTGTTCAGCTCATTCATGGAGCAGCTCCAGACAGAATACTGATACGACTTGGTTCTCTGATTCTCCAGCTCAGGGCAGGGAAAGTTCACCACGCTACCGGAGAAGATGTGAATTCTCAAACTGAGCCAAATTCCCCTTTAACTGTGTCTATCACCCACATGCGATGAGACCAGATAGCTTCGGTGCCGTTAACATTGCAGCAAACAATTCTGCTCCAGTTCAATTAAGCAGTGGTTACAGAACATGCCCTTGAGAAATGGACTGCATGCTCTATTGAGTCCCCCAAGCTGGTGAGTGTGTGTGTGTGTGTGTGCGCATGTTATAACCTTCACTAGCCTGTCTACAAAACCTTTCTCCGTCCTTGGAGAATTCAAGCACAATGATGTCCTTATCTCCTTGGCAACAACTGTAATACTTGAAAAGCTGAAATAGGTCCTCTCATCACTACTGCCATCGAATCGTGGGTGGCTGGCAGCAGAGAACAAGGCGTCTTAACGAACTGTTTGTGTCCATCCCAAGGCAGGCGTCATCACATCATACAGACAGCTGCAGCAAAAAGGTAACACTGAACGGATGTTAGGAGTGTTCAGAGGGTCACTGAAGTTGCTTCCCTAAACAAGAAAAGCTTTAAATGCAACAACTACGAAATTAGCTTTCTTGCAATAATCTCTCTGTCTCTGTGTCCCTAATGCTCCGTACATGAGTGTTTGTCCCCCTGCTATAATAAGGTGTCAGTCTATAGCATTACTTCATGTTTCCATAGATATTGGTTGTTGTTCATCACCAGAATCCATTACTTCTCCTCTGCCTAAGATGTTTTCCATAGCAAGTAAAAAATAACTACAGAACTACATGACAGGCAGATGTGTCACAGCTGTATGTATGTGTGTGTGTTTTTAAAACAGATTCACGGCAGATCTGAGTGCGGACAAGCGCAAAAAATAAAAACCCTCTCCTGTAGAGAAACTTCATCTGCAATACACAGCAAAAAGCGTGTAGCTTATATTAACAGCCTTTTCCTCACAGACTGTATGACCTGTCAAAAGGCTGAGTTTACAATATAGCAGACGTCAGAAGATACAGTGCAATTGCAGCGTCACGTCAGCTCCAGGAACGGGGTTCAATTTTCATTTATTTTAAAATGACGTCTGGCTTCATATCATGCCAAATTCACAGTCTCTGACGATATGAAGACAAACGCCTCTGCAATCATCATACATTCGTATCTGTGCTGAGGAGGAGACGTGATTATTCTCACACTAGCACCATCCTGTGGCTGTACAGGAAAGATGGGAGGAGGGCCTATCACTTTTTCCTCCATATTCTTAATTAGGGAGCCCAGAAATTGTTTGAGCAGAGGAATGAACCAAGGTCTTGTCTTCAGAGTACAGAAATGTAAAGACTATGGTATGATAGCACCTTTCTACGCTGATGGTTTGATATATTTGTCCCTTAATCGTCCCTGACCTGCTGTGCCACATTCAGACTGACACAAAATTAAAAAGAAATAAATTGAAAAAATATTTCTGAATGATTTTCTTTTTAATTTCTTGAAGAATCTATGTCACAGCCTTTGGGGCATACTTCATTGTAATGTGTGAGTGTGGTTGTGTGTGTGTTTATTAGCCTGACCTGGCGCTGGATGACCTCCTCTGAGACATTTTCTCCTTTAATAGTCGGTTCCATCGCCCCCAGGATAATCAGCATGCGGCTCAGCCCTGTGGCTGCTGAAAACTGCCTGGCTTGGAGCGAGGGCAGCAGCTTACCATACCTGAACAAACACACACACACAAACATTCACACGCATTTAACGTCAGCAGGACACAAACTCAACTATTGAGGTCTACAGTTAAACCATAAGTCACTGTGATGAGAATCAATCAAGTCTTTGCTCGGGTCAAGCAATTCACAAGTCAAGTCATATGAAATTCTAAAGATCTATCCCAGTTTCCACATTTAAATCAGTTAAAAAGACAATGGTCATGAAAAGTTTTTATTATGAACATTAACAAAAACTGTTGCAGCTTGCTATCACCTCATAAATTTTACTGATATTTGACAATTTGTGGCAATCAATAAGAAGCTGCCTAAATGAACATCAAAGGAGAGTGGAGCTCTAAAATCATAATCTAAAAAAAAGGGTGACATAGCCTTAATTTAGAGTTAGTTTTCTGGCTAAATGTTATCATTTTCGGACTAGCTCCCCTTCAAGATAGCTGCCTCTTGCATTGGCCTCTGCTGGTCTGCCACATCCTAACAGGTTGCCAGGTTTGTGCGCATTGCACGAGAAATCACAGCGTCATGTTTCAAAAACAAAATGTAACTTCTCAATATCTAGAAAAAAGTAAATACTTAAATAAAACTGTTTCAAGTGTAAGTCAAACCTCTGAAGTCATAAATACCATGTCACATGTCACCATGTTAGTCAAGCAAGTCTGAACCCTAAACACATAACAGTGACATATTAAAGCATTATAAAAGGTTCTATCTACATGTTATACAAATAATTGCCTATTTACACATCCAGAACACATGCTATACATTTTTAATGAGTAAGCTTTTTTTTTTAACTGAATGGCACCAAGAGCTATGGGAGACTGCAAAGGTTCATCGCTAATAGAGACCCATTTCAAATTGTTACTATAAAAACAACTGATCAGTGCAGCTTTTAAGTGTAACCCTCAATGCCAAAGTAGGCCTCTATCATATTTTTTTCCAATAGTCTCCAGAGTACCTGGACCTGTAAACAAAAGATCAAGTCAGTTTTAATTTGTGCTGCTCAACAACATAATGTTCTGAATGGCTTTATTACAAAAAGGATGATTTCATGATCACAATACCAGTGACTCAAGCAAAGTCATACAATTCCTCCAGCCTCTTTCAACCCAAAATCTCAAACTTTCTCTTCAAAAACATTTGCCTGGGGAATGAGAAATACTCTTTTTTTTTTGGCAGATGAGAGAAGAAGAGCTGTGGGATTTTGTAACTCAGGAGGCCCAATCGGTCTCGGCTCACTGGTGCTCTGAATTGGCTGGTCTCAGCCTGTGGAGCCCAATCAATAGTGCCGTGCGCCTGCTGCCGCCATCGCCGCGCTGCGCAGCCTGCCCCTACACGCAGCCAACACACTGTAGATCAGCCCCCCTGCACCGGGAAACACTCGTCCCCTGTCTTTGTCTTACTCCTGATCTGGGCCAGACTTACAGCTCTGTGCTCCTCTGTGCCTGTATCAGTTTCTGTCTGCTATATTCATTCTTACAGCACATTTAATACCTGATAAATAGATAAGAATGATCCTAATAAAATATAAACTGATATGGTACAGCAATGCAACAGATGCTTTTTATGTCATCTGATTATATTTTGATTGTTTACCAATTAATCAGTAAAATGATCCAGTCTATAAGAGGACCCCTGATTTTTCCTTAAACCCATTTGTGTCCATAACTAAATATTTGGCACATTCTCTGGGCTTGGCTTAGCACAAGCCTGAAGAGATTTTCAAAGTCAGACAAACTGTTTGGCTGAAAAGTGGTCCCATGTGCCCAAAGACTAAGTATAGCATCATAAGAAAATAGCTGTATCTCAGAAACTACAAGGAGCACCATCAAGGACTTGGTATCTATGAACTCATAACAAGTTGAATATCTAAGATATGCAAACATATGCAGTGTAAACAATATTTCATAGTGAAAACATTTATCAAATACATTTTTCACATTTTCCCAAAATTTTCAAAAATCCTAACCGACTATTGATAAAAGTGTGATTTCTCATGTGATTTAAAAATTTCAAAGTTGGACACTTTTGCACCAGATTCCAAGAGTTACCTCATTAAATATAGTCTTTGGAAACAAAATGCCACTATGAGGTGGGAATTTGTGTTTTTTGTGAGATGTCTCAACAGTTATTGGATCAATTGAGATAAAATGTGGTAACAATATTCATGTAGTTTTATTACCTTTGGAGATTGATTAGCTTTTTGCCTATATTTGATAGGGGCAGCAGATATACAGGCAGGAGATGTGGGGAGAGTAGGGCTGTGTATCATTTAAATAAATTAAAATACCAATATCAATACAAGTACCCTTAAAGTGATACTAATACCAATACAGTTCATCTTTGATAACTTTTTTCTCTTCTTCATTTGATACCCATCACGTGAATGGAAGCATTCAGTTGCATAAAATGCCACCAAACATGGAGTGGAGCAATACTTCAGAACGTTTTGGGGCCATCTCGGCAAGCTGAACTGCCAACTTAATCAAATACACAGCACTTGACTTCACAATACCCCAGACTGTATGGGTTGTAGCTGCTGCGGTAGAGGGCCAATCACATGTCGCATAAAATCAAAGAATGCTTGCTGTGATTGGCTGTGAGCAAAACCATACAGTTAGTCATTTTGTATCAAATGCAGGTATCTTTTCACTGGAGAGGTTTTGATACGACTTGGTGCTGGGTTATTTCAGTCGATACTTGAGATATTGAGCGCCAATACCCAACCCTAGGAGGTACAGATTGATATGACAACTACAGACGTTGCAGTTATTTGCATGTGGTATGCACATTACCCATAAGGCTATCGGAGCACTCCAACTTTGATGCTACCATGGCTGTAGCCTCTTGCCACTTAATAAATGTCTAAACAGCTGATCATTTATCAGAATCCTCAATGATTCATTTCTCTTTCAATTGACTTTTCAGTACAGAACTAAAACTTACTAATACTTGAGTTGTAACAGTATCTTATATCACAGCAGAAGCCAGTAGTGCATGTTACAGTACACTTCATTTTACAACAGACTGGTTCAGACTGACACAGACTGGCTGCTTCACTGCCATTACACTGATCATATCAAACTTACATCATAAACATTCACTTTTCTGTTGTAAAAGAACCCATTTCATGTGCAGTTGATATGACACGTTGCCACCTAAAGAACTGTAGCTTGACATATAAAGCTGTGCTCCGGCAAAGCATGATTGCACTGATTGGTCAGATCAAGCTGATACAAACAGCGGAGAATGGTTGTTCAACTGCTACAAATAGCTGTGTAAAGATAACCTATCTGCCATATTCAGTGCCTGCAGGTCAATAATAGATACATGCAGAGGGAGGGGGGAGAGAGTCAACTGTTCTAATTTTCAGTCTTCACTCAGAGAAAACTTTTCAAATCAGACCTCCGCAGAGTGACATTTTGACATTTTCATCTTCCTTGCCACAGTTTTCCCCCGAAGTCATTCTGGCACCACAATTTAGAACTGACTCTTCGACCTGGCTCTTAAGGGACTTCTCATTCTCTGCACATTTTCCACCTGTCACCCTTTTCCTACCCCTTGATTCCAAAAATAAAGGGGGGAAAAAAACCTCTTTCCCTATCAGCCCCCGAGTTCGAATCTGGTCAAATCATTCCTGGGTCTGGCATTGAACATTATTTCAAGGATTCTCCAGCCACCTGTCCTATTCCCTCCTCTTTTTTCCATTTTTAATTCTGCCCCGGAGTGAGGATTATGCGAAGCAAGGCATGCGTGTCAAAGGGAAATTTAGTGGGTAAAGACAGCCAAGATTGGCGGGATGAATTAAACAGATAACGGGAGTAGACGAAGTGGGGGAACCATGTAGAGCAAAACGCCTCACCGATGTTGGTCATTTCAGAGGAGCTCTTTTTTTTCCCTCCCCACAGGAGCGAGGAGGCAATATCTAAATTAATAAAGTGATGAAATGAGTTTGTGCCGTGGACTTTCTGCTGTTTGACTTTCCCATCTGGATTAGTGCAGGCTGAATGGACGCTCTGTTACTTTTGTTACAACTGCGCAATTCACTGTCGGAATTTGGCCCTGTAGTGATAACGCTCCCCTCCTCCTCCTCATTACCATCTCATTTCATATGCAGGGCCTCTGTTACCTGAGAGCCTGCTCACACACAAAACACGAACTATTACACGAGCTTCTGCCAACTATTACAATGAACAGAGAACATTTAAACACGGACTATTACATGAGGCTCAACTAACTATTACGCCAAAGAACATTTTTTAAAAATCTGGTCTCTGCAAAGACTTCAAGAGACTATTACAAAGAGAAGGGCATATGGACGTGGACAGGTACATGATGAGGCCTCTCACTCTCACATAGGCAGGACAACTTGGCCAAATTTTAAAGAATTGGAATCTTGAGTGACTTAGAATCAAGATCAGGGGCGGAGCGGGGGGGGGGGGGGGGTTTTGGGGCTCCAGCCATGAAAATATTGTCTCAAAGGCCCCAAATCTTTTAGGTTTTTAGAATACTTTCAACTTTATGTCATTCAGATAATACTACATGCCCGTGTTGTTTATCCTAATATGATATTCCCAAAATAAATCTAATATAACTAAGTAAATCTTCTTCTCTTTGCCTAATATTCAATTCAAAGTATTAAAGACCACATTTGGCATTTGTTGAGCTTTCCTTGATTTGCAATTACAGCTGCCCATGGCATGGATTCAAATGTAGCAGATTTGTCAGCTAAACATTCATTCTGTGAACTCTACTCCAGTAAAAATAGGTATCAAGATTAGTAATGTTGTTTATGCCAAATTCTCACCCTACCTATGTTATGTAACTTAAAAATAGTAACATCACACAGTTTTTACTCTCTTTAGGTGGCAGGAGTGAAAATTAGTCATCATCAGCACTTGATGTGTTCTGGTTCAAAATGATGAAGACAGTTGGAGAACAATTGGATGAAAAATACGATGTAGACTCCACAGGATTTTTTTTTTTCTTGGCAAC